AAACAATGTTAGCTATACAACCTTTTTATATTATTTTCTTTATGTTCATGGTCAGTACTAGGTACATAGTTAGTCTCTGTCGAACTTCTTTTTACTATCTAATCAACTTCATAAATAAATTAATACATTTAAGAATTGATAATTACTTGTTAATACGACATTTACATTAAATTTTAAGTGTTTTTGGCTTATGTCACACAATAAAATTATTAAAAAATTTACACTTATTAATTTGTGTTAAAAATTTTTATTATATTTTAAAAAATATCTGTATTATAAATATTATATTATTATATCATATTATATTATAACTATTTTTTAAAACTATTTTTTTAAATAAACTACCTAAGCCCGGTGAAAATTAAAAATATTATTATTAAATTTTATTACAATTTATATAATTTTAATATATTATTTAAAAAAGCCTATATAACAAATTCCTTTTTAATACTCAACTATTATTAATTGTTTATAAGATCTTTTTCTAAATTAGTGAACTGCGCAGATAAGTTCGACTTTACTAAGAAATTTTAAAAATTAAATATAAATAGACTTATGTGTCATATGGAAATATGGAATTAATTAAGAAGAGGAGGTTTATATCCCTGCACCCAGCAGAAACGTTGTTATCAGTCAATAAATTTTGTTCAGTTTACTTTAATGTACAGAGTGCAAATAATTTAGAAGAAGAAGAGAAAATTGGACTGTACAAAGCACAAGAATGTAATATATACAAATTAAAAAACTGGGATAAATAGTATATACATGTGTATTGAAATAAATAAATTATAATAATAGCAATTGAGCTCATGAAAGAGGTAAACAAAAAAAAAAATAAATGTACTAAATAATGGGTAAATAAAACGTGCGTGTATAGTTGAAATATTTTAAGCAAAGATTTTTTTTACAAAAATTTATTTCATATAAAAATTTAACTTAAAAAATAAAATAAAATATATGTAAAAATTAACACTTACTTATTTTGTGTTGAAAACTTCAAAATAAAATCCAAAAAATATCCAAAATAAGAGATCAGATTCCAGATAATTAATATCTAAGCACAGATTTTTTTTTTTCAACCAGCACTACACCGAACACGTTTATTTAGCACACGACACTCTACAACAAAAAAAATACGGAACAATTTGAGCCTTTTTTACACCAAAAACTGCAATTACAGAAACAAAAACAAAAATAGGAACGAGTGAGAGTAGGAGTGAGAGTGCACTCAGTAATTAAAACGAAATATAACAGTACAAAGCCGTGTGTGAATTATGACATAGCAGAGGTTCACACGATTCCACTGGATCTGTTAAAAATTACTGTAAATTCCGTTACACTACGTAATAACACACCAACAAGGAATTGTGAACCAAAAATGAATATTTATTTTATTTTTTGTAATTACATTCAATATTAACCAAACAAAAATTTATTTTTATAAATATATATGCAAAACTTTAATTTTAAATATTTTCTAAAACACTTGATTGAACAATATTGTTTAACATAAAATTTCGCAGAAAAAATTGATCATTTATTTGAATAAAATATTTATTTTTTTATTTAAACTTTAATTCATTGAATATATTATTATTAAAAATTATATTATTTTAATTATTTGCACACATGTATTATGAAAAACAATAAACAATTGAACCGAAATAATTATTTTATTATTGCGAAATATTATTTATAAACCTTTTAAGTTATTTGTTAAAGAAGTAAGGGGTTAATTTGTTTGTTTAATTTTATTAATTATTATTTTAAAATGAAACACTTTGCTTACAATTTAAAAAACAATATTCAATTTAAAAAACAATACGCTTTGTTTAAAACGTATATCACAATTTCTAAGTATTTTTTTTTCTACACAATTAACTTCAGAAACACGTTGATCAACTAACGTACACGACTTCTGTTTGAAAACTGAACAAATTTTTATATGAAAATGAATGTGAAACCGTGAGCAATAACGATCAGTTAAACAATGCAAACAACAAAAGCAACAATAACAACAATAACAACGCTAGGGCAAGACAATGGGAATCCAACAAGCGCAGCAGATCAACAGTGTGAGAACTTTTTAAAAACTCAACTGTAAATATCTAGAGTTTCTGATATGAAAAAAATAAAAAAAAATACAGGAGACAAACAATGATGTGCGTTGTTTAGTGCGAGTGTGTGGAGAGTGAGAGAAATATACAAACAGAACTCAAAACAAAAATTACTTTGAGTGCAAATGTTTGGTTGACTGTGTTTGTTTTTGCTTTTGTTGTGCTTTTCACATTTGTGTTTGTTTTTTCCTTATGAACTTGTTTAGAGTAGCACGTGTTGTATAAACTTTTTTTTTGTATGGCATTTATTTTTTGCAAAGAAACAATTTTCTATACAATGCTGCTGTATATCGTACGTGATTAGTAGAGTTACCCATATTGTATTTTTTAAAAATTAGTTGCTTGTTGATAAGTGAAAATAATTTGACTTAGACCGTGTGCGAGTTCGAGTAAATTGATGATAAATTGATGGAAATAGTAAATTATGTTGGCATAGCAGCGAATGTTGGTATTTACCAGAATGTCGAGTAGGGTAAATTAAATAAAACTTATGTAAAAGATGTTTAATAAATAAATAAATTATTTTAAAAACTTTTATGATTTCGTTCTAATATAAACACAGCAAGTAAAATTGTTAATAAAAACTTTCATAGTAATAGTAACAAAACTCCAGAAAAATATGCGAACAAAAAAGTCAAGTACGGCTTTGGATCAGTTGGTTAATGTGCGCTGATTCTGAGCTTCACATTTGGCAGGACCCGAGTTCGATTCCTGGTACTTACAGTCTCAAAAAATAATTATTTACGAATAATTGAATACAAGAATTATTTCCAAGACCACTGATGATAGGTATTTGGCAGTACTCGAAACAGCTGTATGGTCAGCCAAAAATTCATTTAATTAAAATAATATAAAATGATTTTTGTTATTGTAGTTCACTACTGTTCGAAAAACGTTTTTATATCGGAGTAATCTTTAATTGTGAACAGCCACAGTTCAAAATAAATTTTTGTTGTTGTATTTCACTACTGTTCGAAAAAACCTCTTTATAAAAACTTTTAACCAAAAATAAATATTTACATAAGTGCAGTGCAAAAAATCCCTAGGAAATTTTAATTTACTTTACCCTAATATACTCGAACTCGCACACGACCTTAATGGATATATTAAATTGTGTATAAATACAGTTTCAGCAACTTTTTTTCTCACTTCGTAATAATTCCACTAAATAATTTTATTCTAGTTGTAATTTTTTTTTCACATAGCTATAATTATCTGTAGAAAAAAAAAATATTTATTTGAAGAATATCTTAATAAACATTATATACCTTAGCATCATTTTTAATTATCTTTTCAATAACATAAATGTCTAATGCTTGTTGCTTTCATTTTCATACTTCATTCTTTGTGTTTATAGTAGGTATGTTCCACGACCTAATCGTAGTAATACTCAAGTAAAACACATTACATACAAAGTGAGAGCGTAACACAAATAAAGTGCCATATTATGCTTTTTACACAGATTTTATGGAACAGCTGTGTGTAAAATCTGGTGAGAACACCAGTGCCGCGCAAAGAAACAATACAAAAAATTAAATTTTAACCAAAACAGCTGATCACATATCATACACATTTTACTTGCAATAAAATGTAGAAGTAAAATCTGTGTAGCATTTTCAATTTTCGACAGGGATGTGACACTCTCTCAGATGCTCTCATTTACTCGAAAAGTTGCTGTTCTAATATAATAGATCTAATATTGTCTCTGCGCGAAGGGCCATGTTGTGTTGAGGATACAATCATCGTCGATCACCATATTTGTTTCTGCTTTCAATTTTAGCTTTGAAAGCATAAATAAATGAAGTGTAAAACGATCATTTGTTCAATTACTTACAATTATCAAATCTCATTAAAATATGTTTGTGTCGGTCTCATATGAAAACGGTATAGCAGTGGTAAAATCTATTATTCTAATTAACTTTTTTTACGAGAGATCTAAGCTAAATATGCCTATTAACTTATTTCTGTACATAAATGTAATAATATGTAGCTCAAATTTTATTTATGGCTTAGTAAGCCTAGTGATAAAATGACAGGATCTGTTATATAGTTGCATGTCATATAAAAAAGCCCCTAATAAGACTATCAATAGGCTTTAAATTTAGCAAAATATAACAATGAGTACAGTAGTAAATACTTTGTTGTATATCTCATATACATATCTTTACGTAGAGTGCTAAAAACGCACATTTACGTAGAATATTTAACTGCTAAAAAATCGTATAGAACACTAAACATAAGTTAAATAAGAGTTTCTTTCAAATAACACAATTTGTAAGAAACTCTTCCCAAAAATAGATAGCCATCTTTATACAACATTGGCCCTACTTAAAGTCCTTCCAAACCGAACAACTTCAAAAAGATATGCGGAGCTTCGTATAATTACAATTAGATCAATTATTTAACTGATATAAACATCAAAATCGTTTCACCAGTGAGACGCAGCGGATCCAACCACAAAATGAAGCAGAGCTGCTGATTGACACCAAGTCAGGCTACATATCCACCAAAAAAGAATCAAAATTGAATTAAGATTTACTGTGTAAACACATTTTTAAGAACGCTGGTCTAATAAGTAAAATCAATAAGAAAATATTGTTTTTGCCGTGTGAATAGACATTATGGATAATACAATAATTGTGAACTGTAAACATGGAATCCAAACACATAAAATATTGCTCGAAATTAATTTCATCTGGTAACGCTGTTCAAATTATTACCCACATCTTTTTTACGTATTGCTTTGTCTGTTATTTTTTACTAGTGGTATAGAGCGGTGGCGCGTAAAGTTTTTTGATTGGAACAATTTAGTATGTTAGATATTAGCCTCAAACGCTATATATAAAACCCGTAATTTAAGCAAGTTATTATTAAAAGTAATTAATTGAAAATGTTAATAATATTATTTAATAAAAGGACATATGATTAAAATTTATTGCTGGTATCGCGTGTGCGCTTCGTGCATTCGTCGTTTATAGTCGGGTATTTTACATCTATACGAAGATAAAAACATAGTGCTTTTGCCTTCTTTTTCAGAAATACAACAAAATTCAATCCAAACTCGTTTGTCCGATATAGTTCAATATGTAAACTGTGTGGAGATGCAAATATTATTGGACTCTAATAGGATAAATGTAGTTTTATATAGATGGAAAACTCATAAAATACCTAAGCCGGCAATACTATTGCAATATTTTTTATTGACACAAGTCTAAGGATTTTAAAACAAAAAACATATATTATAGTTTCGATTTGGAGGCCAACAAAGTTAAAATGTTACAGGCAAGTATATACGTATAATAATTGATTTTGATTTCAACGTAACATTGTTAACCCTACGTCAGAAACAGTATTCCTAAAAAATAATTTAATTTCTGCTGTAATTTCTGAAAATATATACCCGTATATATAATTTGAATAGCAGCTTCTGATGCTTCATCCGGTTTATCCAGACATTTTATCGTTAGTTTACTATTGACATCCATTTTTGCGACAATTTTTTATGCTACCAAAATTGGTCTCAAAAAAGGACTAAAAAGCATATATGCTGTATGTTATACTTTCACCTTTTTCTTATATAAATATTGTATATAATATTATTATATGAACTATTATATTATTAACTTATTTTTTATTTTATTTGTGTGCAGTCTAATGAAGGGAATATCTATTTGCAGTGTTTTAAACTATCTGACTATCCCAATCTTACCCATCGTATATATCTGCGAAAGCGAAGCGGATATAAATACTTTACAGATGATGAAGGTGATGTGTCTGATGATTGTAACAACATGAATGCTCAAAAAATCAGTACAGAAGAAGATGCATACCTTTCAGATGATGACACTCTTTCAAGTAGTCAAAATATGACACAAAAATATCAACAGCATCTAACTCTGGTAGAATCAACTGATGAAGATGATGACATTGGTCGAAAAATTAATACACATAAACGGCCCAAACGTAAACGTAAGAGTGTGTCATATATTGAAGATAACGATGATGAATCATCAACTAGCCAAAGTATCGCGACAGACAAACGTCAAAAGCGTATATATGTGATAGAAACATCTAGTGAAGATGATGACATTCCATTAATAAACCTAAACGTGAAAACAAATAAACGTAAAAGGCTTGTAACTAAGACAAAAGTATATGTTGAGGACGATGACACGCCATCAACTAGTTCAAGTATCATAGAAAATAAACGTCAAAATCATACCGCTGAAGTGGAAACATATGTTGAAGACCTCGATGAACCATCAACTAGTCAAAATATTTTGAAACGTCAAATACGCGCAACGGAGGTAGAACCATGTATTGAAGATGACGATAAACCATTAAAAAGCCGAATTGTCAAAACATATAAACGTGAAAAGCTTGCTAACACGAAATCGTGTATTCAGGAAAGCCATAAACCAACAAGTAGTTCCGGAATTATAAAAAATAAAGCTCAAAATTATATAGCAAAGGAGGTAACTTTTGTTGAAGATGATAACAAACCATCTACTAGTAATAATATTTTGATGCATAACTGTCAAAAGCATTCAGTTGTAGTTGAAGCATGTGTTGGAGATAATGACAAATTACCCAGTCGCAGTATTTTGATAAATAAACAAAAACCGTGTTCAGCTGAGGTGGAATCATATGTTCTAGATAACGATAAACCACCAAACAGCCAAAATATTTTGACAAATAACCGTCAAACGCATTCAGCTCAGATGGGGGCATGCATTGAAGATAATGAGAAACCACCAACTAATCGCAGTATTTCGACAAATAAAAAACAAACGTATTCAGCTGAGGTGAAAACATTTGTTAAAGATGACGATAAACCATCAAGTAACCAAAATATTTTGATATATAAACTTCAAACGCGTTCAGCTAACGTGAAAGCAAGGGTTGAAGATAACGACAAGCCATCAACCAGTCAAATCATCACAACACTTGCACATCAAAGAAGTGCAAATAACGTGAATGTAAGTTTAGGAGATGACGACAAACCATCAACCAGTCAAATATCAATTACAAATACACAACAGAGAAATACAAATAACGTGAAAGCAGTTGACGACAAACCAACCAGTCAAATATCCATTAGACATGTACAACAAGGAAGTACAAATAACGTGGAAGCAATTGTTGAAAATAACGACAAACCATTCACTAGTCAAAACATCATAACACATGCACATCAAAGAAGTGCAAATAACGTGGATGTAAATATGGAAGATGACGACCAACCATCAAACAGTCAAAATTTCATGACTCTTGAGCATCAAAAAATTGCGCATACCATGGAAACATTTGTTGAAGATGGCGTTAAACCATCAAGCAGCCAAAATATTTTGACTCATAAACATCAAAAGTATTTACTTCTGGATGCATGCGATGAAGATAATGTCAAACTACCAACTAGTTGCAGTATTTCGACAAATAAAAAACAAACGTATTCAGCTGAGGTGAAAACATTTGTTAAAGATGACGATAAACCATCAAGTAACCAAAATTTTTTGATATATAAACTTCAAGCGCGTTCGGCTAACGTGGAAGCAAGGGTTGAAGATAACGACAAACCATCAACCAGTCAAAACATCACAACACATGCACATCAAAGAAGTGCAAGTAACGTGAACGTAAGTTTAGCAGATGAGGACAAACCATCAACCAGTCAAATATCAATTACACGTACACAGGAAAGTAATACAAATACCTTGAAAGCAGTTGACGACAAACCAACCAGTCAAATATCCATTAGACATGTACAACAAGGAAGTACAAATAACGTGGAAGCAATTGTTGAAGATAACGACAAACCATCCACTAGTCAATACATCATAACATATGCACATCAAAGAAGTACAAATAACGTGAATGTAAGTATAGAAAATGACGACCAACCATCAAACAGTCAAAATTTCATGACTCATGAGCATCAAAAAATTGCGCATAGCATGAAAGCACTTGTTGAAGATGGCGTTAAACCGTCAAGCAGCCAAAATATTTTGACTCATAAACATCAAAAGTATTCACATCCGGATGCATGCGTTGAAGATAATGTCAAACTACTAACTAGTCGCAGTATTTCGTCAAATAAAAAACAAACGTATTCAGCTGAGGTGAAAACATTTGTTAAAGATGACGATAAACCATCAAGCAACAAAATATTTTGATATATAAACTTCAATCAGCTATATTTTGATATATAAACTTAAGCCCGTTCAGCTAACGTGGAAGCAAGGGTAACGTGGAAGCAAGTGAAGATAACGACAAACCATCCACTAGTCAAAACATCATAACACATGCACATCAAAGAAGTGCAAATAACGTGAATGTAAATATGGAAGATGCCGACCAACCATCAAACAGTCAAAATTTCATGACTCATGAGCCTCCAAAAATTGCGCATAGCATGGAAGCATCTTTTAAACACAATAATAAGCTATCACTTTACGAAAAGTGGAGACGAATACATATCTTTATATCAAAGAAAGTAACAACCAAGTAAAAATTTGGTCGTCAAATAATTAAATGATTTAGTTGTATCAAAATTAAATAATCAAATCAAAACAATAAATAGCTATACAGATCTAGCTGCGTGTAATGCTCTGAATTTAAAAAACAAGTAATATATATCTTATCCTTTCGATAAAAATTTTAATACTGTAGGTATATTATTAAAGCTTTAACGACTTATAAAAAAATATACTTAATAAGTACTTAATAAATAAATAAATAAATCTAAATCTTTAATCATTATTATTATTATAAGGTATTCATTCGGAACAGTTTTTGCTATGGCCGGGATCAAAAGAATACTACTATTACTAAAGTTATGAATTGCTTCACATATTGATAGATACTGGTCAAGTGTTATTTTTTTTAAAGATAATCTTAAGTTGCTTGGTATTTATTTGTACTTATATCTAATTTTGAAACTGACCAAAGCTTATTTAATATTAGAAATAAAAATTTAGATCGTTACAGTAGCATTTTACCATTATTATTTGTGGAAAAAATTCTTTTTTGACCAAAATTCTGCATTAGTTAAAATTTTATTCCTAAATTGTGTATTTGTAGATTTGCTTGTGAAAACTTTGATCGTGGCAAAATCTGGATAGTACTAGTATACTGCATTTATATATGTTGAATTATTTAAAATTTTGCATCGTTAGTTAGAGTTGTGACATCGCATAACAAAGTCCATTTTAGCACAAATAATAGATCACTATAATATTTTCCATAGTGATCGCTATTAATAGTTTGCTTCGACCAATGACTTGGCCTGTATTATGTCAAGGGAGGTATATTATATTAGAAAACATTTGTACATTTTTTTTTTCAACACACTAAATTAATTATATCTTATCATATCTACCATCAACTAAATAAAAAAATTTTTCCCAAAATGTGGGTCTTTGAATTTTATTAAAGTAGCTTATAAAAAAATATCAGCCAAATCGAAGATAATGAGAAAAAGGCGCGGAGATGATGTTGTAAGCAATATTAAGTTAAGTCTAGATATAGGAATATAGCTATAAAATCTATATCTATACTATAGAATCTATTCTATAGTAATTAAAATTGATATATGTTTTTAATATTTCATTATTGAAGTTTTTGATTAATATTGGTACTTAAATATAAAATATATCGAAATTATATAGTTTTTGTTATTGGTTTTAGATTTTATTGTTATATATGTGGGGTTGGCAATGCTTTTAGCTAAGAAGTAGTAGAAAAGAAACAGTAGAAAAGAAGCAGTAGAAAGGAAGTGTTTGACGAATCAAATCGAAAGTGTTTGATTGTTATATATCGTGGGTTCTGACACCTACTTGTATGTGGGCTTGATTTATTTAATAGAAAATATGATTTAATTAAAATATAAGTATCAAATATGTTCGACTAGTTTCGTCGAGGTCTTCCTTTCTACTACTTCTTATGCCTTGTTTTCACTATGTCATTTTAAATGACAATTATAATTGACGGGTGTGTCAAATGCGTTTTCATTACATGAGAAGAATGCGTATATGATATCATATGACTACCCGTTTTCATTATACTGACAATATTTGACATTGAAAATGACCTAGTGGAAACGAGGCATTAGTTAAAATCTTTGCTAATCACACATATATATAGAATAATATATTATTATATTAAATGTGTATAATAAGATTTTCTGTTCATATGTATAAGTCTTTTATAATAGTCATTGATTTTGAAGACAGTTTATTGAATTAATTTATCTAGTTTTAATGGTCTTCATTGCAAGTATATTTATATCTACAACTGAATCTATTCATATTCTATCTATTTCCATTTTAAATGGTGCAAACTGAATTGTTTTTAGTTAAAAAAAAAATAAAAAATGTGATATAAAACTAAAATAACAAAAATATATTTCAAAATGTTCAAAAGATAGCAAAAAATTTATATCAAATTTTTGTTTACATAGCTGTAAAAATTTTACAAATGCCATTGTTTTTATTATATTTTTTTAAATCATCAATAGTAGATCACCTCTTAATAATATTTGAATTTTTATTCTTTATGTAGATACATAGAGTATCTTACTTAAGTATTTACAAAGTGACCCAAAAAATGTTGAAATATATTTTTTCTGGTTGCATTTTGTATTTCTAGTAAAAATTGAAATGAATCAAAAATACCTCAAAAATACAGCGTTCTTTAAAAAATTTCATTCATTTTAAGAGCAATAATACTTATTTCAATAATTCACTCAATTATATTAAATATTTTTAATATCTTTTATTTACTGGAACTATCTAACTTTTGCAATATTTTAGTTTTTGTGTAATATTTATGCTTCCTTGTCTTATTTTTTTTTTATTACAATATTTTTATAAATTTATTCATTTATGCAATACAATAAAACATTAAATATTTTACAAATATTTTTTGTGTATTTTTTTATTTTATTTTTTTGGTGAGTTAGTTTGCATTTTATGAACGGAAATGTTAATTTTTGGTTGTATTTAGAAATTCTATGAAAACATATTTTTAATATGTAAATAATCGTTTGTATTGTATAATTACAACTTCAAAAAATCATTTATTTATTAGCCAGCCTTCGACCAGAATAAATTGAAATTATTTATGCATTTAAATTGCTAAAATAGAAAATAACTTTAATATATACAAAAACTGAAAAAATATTCTCATCAAAATAAAAATATTTGAAATGCTAAATTACAGAATAAGAAACTATTTGCCTTCGGTTGCTTGAATTTTGAATTGAAAAAAAAGGAAGAGGATTTTATCGTAGATAAAAATATAGTTTTTAGTATTTAAATAGCTGCCTGCCCTCAGGAACTGAGCTGAAAGCCTTGACAGCATATACATGACATCTGTTTAATTATATCATTTAGTATTATGCAAATTACTGTAAAAATAAATTAAATAAAAAAAGAACCACACATTTTGGGAGTTCTGAACTATTTTAAAATTATTTCAAATAAAAACAACAAATAAATTTATTTACAAATAATTTTTATATGCAGTGAAAATTCTATCAAAGACGGGACTGACTGCTAAAGAGAACTGACTGCTTTAAAAAAGGCATTTCGCATTAAAAATTTTAAACAACGGTTAGTAATATTTCACGACTAATTGATATTTGTTTGTAAAAGTGTCAGAGACAAGGAATATAAAGCTTCTCTTCCATGACAATATACAATATATAACTAACTGTTACTCAATCACATCAATGCAAAAGCCATTCATCTGCTGAATATTACCAATGAACTAAGAAGGCTAAAGCGAACAAAACCTCATGAGTTAACATAGATAATATTGTATTATAAATTATTTGTTTTATAAATTATTGTACTATTATTATAAATTATAGTATTAGTATTGTATTATTATTTGTATTATAAATTATAAAACGCTAGACGAATTCATTAAAGCAGTTGCTTTCCGCTTGATTGATATTTTAACTGCATTCCGTGCCTAATTTGACATCTCTCGACTTTTGCCTTTGGGCTACTTGAAGTTAAAGGTTTATATTAGTAAGCCAAGAACGCTATATATACTTAAAGCCAACATTTACCTAGAAACAGTAGTCAAAATATTAGCAACTACAATTGAAAATGCCTAGACATTGACACATAACGCCATTAGCTAAGCGTGGCCACTTGCAGAAAGTGATACCCTACACTTTCTACAGAAAGTGATACCCTAAAACAACTAAGTTTCCTTAAAATCATGGTATCACATAGGTCGACTACTCGTAGTATATAAACCTTCATTTTTCTCCAGTATGTAATTAAATTGAACTAACAAATTTGATTTCTATATAGATATTCTAGGTATATCTATATTATATTTCAAATAGAATAGATAATATATATGTTATTATTATTGTAAATAGCGCTATTTAAAACTTTCATAATTAATCCATACCTATATAATTAAAGTTAATGTATAATTATAGTTTAATTTGCAAAACCTCATTTGCCTTTTATACTTCATTGATATATCACAAAAACTGAGTAATATCTGGATGACTCTTAATCCTTAAGGCACTATACAACAGCATTTTTGAAGAAGTTTTAGGTAAAATTTTATAGATATTTATTATGAGAATTCAAAATAATATTAAATTTATATGTATTTTTTAAAATGGTAGAGATATCAAGAGGTACATATGTTATATAGATTTTGTTAGCATCTAAACTATTTTCAGGATGTTCTGGATGCGCATTTATTGTTTCATATATTTTATATAAGCATGAATTATATATTTGAAAATTGATATAAATACTAATTCATACTTTTTATATACTCGTATACTAAATTCTCGCCAGTATTTTAAAGGCATAACTTAAGGACTTCCTTGCTTTTTTTCGATTTGTGCTTAATGAATTTATTATGCTTATTTTTAAACGACGAATTAAATCTATAATTAAGTTTAAAATTTCATAAAAATTAATTTTTTCACTTATTTATTATTATTTTTTTTTTTGTATATTTTATAATTTTTTTAATTCTTTAATTCTATTTTTTCTGTACAAATTTTGTGAACATGACCACGTGTTAAAAATCCAAAACTGTCAAGAATCGATATGCAAATTAAATTTGAATTTTAGTATTTCCAGATCAGAGCGCAACAACACAGCACAACGCACATCATCATCGCATCAGTAAC